TTTTTTTTTTCTTTTTTTTTCATGTCCCCCAATTACACAACTTTTTTACATTACAGACTACGTTGGGACGGCTAGACGAGGGGTGAGAAGACATACAGACGCGCACATCTGTAGAGAGAAACCAAGCACAGAAAGGCTATTACCAAGAACGCCACTGCCACTAAGAAATGAAATTTTTTTGAAATCATCAATCAATCATTGTTAGACCACCATTAGAAACCTGGAAGCACTGGACGGCCGTTTCATCCTGGTATGGGACTCATCAGCAGTGCGCATCCACGACTCCTGCACCTCACAGGACCTTCGGTATTGTAAGCGAACGCCTAACCACTAAACCACACCGTTGGATGCCGGCCTGATGGTGCATTCATTGTGAGAAAATGCGTTCGCGCACAAGACCGAATGTCCTCAGTTCCAATCCTGCGAGGTGCAGGAGTCGTGGATGCGCACTGCCACACATGTGTGTAAAAACACACATCTTCATAACTCTAATTGAAAATATCATTTAATCACCTTTCTGATATATAAGTGAAAACTAGAGGATATGCACAACTATTTCAGATTCTACAATGTTTATAAATAACTATAAAACAACTTCCCCTCGTATATTCAAATAATCATACTAATCTGTTGACAAAGAATATGTAAAAATAGTTTAACCATTGAATGTATATCTATCTATACATGACTGCGATAATCTTTGATAGTTATGATTATGTTTAAACAAACAAAAAATAAAAACTGTCCACAAACACAAAAGAAACAGCAAATAGATAAAAAAAGAACATACATTTAGATAATAAATAATTATTTTGGTGTTATATTTTTTTGTTTTAAGGCTTTTTTTTACTTACTCTAAATTTATATAATTCATTATCTTGATTTGATTGATTATACAATGCTGAAAGTAACAATTCAAAATGTTTCACAATTTCACCACCATAACCAAGACAATTGGATACAATCGCTTTACGTTCATGTAGACCATCAAGAAAATAATGAACTAATGCTCTTGTATGCGATAAACTTTGCACTACCGAATTTAAATAACATGTATTGCCTAGATTACGTAAACCATTCGTACGTATTTGATGAATAGCTAAAATTCAATAATAGTAATAATAATAACAATAATAATAATAATAATAATACAATGCATGATGATTAACAATGATCATAATAAGAAAACACGTACACACATACACACACACACACAAACACTGCATTGAATGCATAAATTGACCAATATAATTACAGTTGTAATGATTTAGAAAAGACAATGGAATATTTTTATTTTTAACGAGTGAATATTTCAATACCAATCACTTACAACACCAGCATACCAATGACTGTGTTGTTTCCGTTAATGACGACAATAGGTCATTAGTGAACTTAATATAAAGTCACTTGTAAAAAATCCTTATTGCTTTGTTGACTATACCACTAACTAAAAGAATTGATAGACTGTATTCTTGTAATCTTACTAACCAACCATGGAATTAACTAGTAATTGGTTTTTTTTTGTGGCATGCATTTTCATCTGGATCTGTAGTCTTACATTTAAATGAATGGTCAAGCTGACAGGCAAATAAATCGATTATTTTCTGTTCAAGTCTGCCAAACTCAAATTTCTCCAAATGAGAGAATCTTCGTACCAAGAATGTATGTTCTTTCTCTTTTGTTAAATAGATCATTCTCAGGTCCAAAAAGTCCATTGTCATTTTCGTTATAGGCTGTACTGCACATTAATTTAATTAACGTACACATAACCTTCTCTTCGAACCCTAATCTACACTCCTATGGAATTTGAATTGACCATTGCGTCTCAATGCCAAGGTGGTATGGCAGATTGAACTGATGTACATAGGTATGAAATTCTACGTTGTAACTGACTGACTGACAGACAGACAACCTTAGCCTTTGCATCGCTATCACATCAATGTATCTTATTGAATCGCTACTGTTATTTCATAAATTTAAATAGAACAAAAACAACAAACACGGCAAAATAAGATGAATTGACTTTATTTCACGGTTTCTCATTAGGTGCGTACAAACTGAACATAAATGGTATTAATTAGCAAAATCAAAAAAGTGTTGTCATCTATAAGGATTGATAAACGATGATAAAAATCAAAGAGGTGTTCAATCGATAGAATATTTATATGATAAATAATGTGAAAATGCTATGGAAAACGAACGATATTCAAGTTACGTAATAGTAACAATAAAAACTACTGATTGTAGGACTAGAAGTTCAGATAACACAAAGGAAGCTAAGAAAACAAATTAATCTTTTTTTCTTCATTTGTAAACAAAATTGTCACATAAGTCATCAAGTGCACAGCAAAGTTGACACCACAGTGCCTTTTTTTGAATACATTAAGTCTGATTTACATCATTTGATAGCAGTTGCATCGGCAAAACATAACAAATTCGAAGATGTTTGCCTGTTAACAATTTTGAACGATGTCGGAATCTCAACTTTATGTCCACCATCAAGCAAATAACAAACAATCAGAACTTTTGACGGAAAGTTGACCTCTCAGTCTCAGCTTTTGAGGAATAGGCCTTATTGACGCGGAAATTCACTCTTCTTTCTGTTAGCTTAATGTATGTGCTTAGGCATGTACAAGTAAAGTGGTATACACAATTGTTTTAATGAGTATTTTGTTCAATATATATATATATATATATATATATATATTGAGACCAGGTTTTATTGCTGGATAAGTCTTTTTTAGTGCAGCTGTAAGTCTTGAATCAATCAATGTCCAAGATTCATCAGTACAACCAGCTAGTACATTCTAATCTGATGGTGTTCTCGTTGACACTGGAACCTAGTAATCACCGGTTGGTTTCAGGATACAGAGTGTTATTCACTTTGTACTTAACATATTTGTTTAACTGATATCAAATGTTCAGAAAGTTTCCGAATTTGTTTGTCGTAAATATCTATTTATCACCTCTAACCATATATAAAATCGGCATTAAGTTCACTTGAACAAAGAATACACTCACGTGAGAATACCATTAGATCACATAGAAGGTATTCAGGAAAACATTATATTTATCAGATGATATTGTCAATAATAAATAGATTTGATTTTCCTAACTTGTAAGCTACAGACTACAATTACTATCTATCTGAAATGTTTTCTACTTGATAATATACCTCACCCAGAATCATAACACTATAGATAGTTACAATTAACATTATGGTGTGATGATATTTATGAACTGATAAACAACGGAGCAACACAAATGTACAATATGCTAAATGAATTCAATTTAGAAAAAAAAATCATCATTCTCACCTTGATTATTTAAAATATCTGACTGATGATTATGAAATGATGTTAAAGATGAATGAGAATGTAGAAAATTTCTTGGTTTAGTTTCCGATGGAGGAATACATGGTACAGATTGTAGTGAAACACTACTAGGTGATAAAGATAACGATGTCTGCCATGGATCGGCATATGCATGAATTGATTGGGTAATTGTATGATCGGTAATTTGTCCGGATAATCGATTCAACAACATTCTATCAGGAAGTAATTGTTCATGATAATCACTACAGGCAAGAAATTCTTCATCCAAATTATCATCAGCTAGTTTCTACAAATGTGAAAGTTGCCAGATTTCGAATAACAATAGTAAGAAAACCAGATAAAAGACTAATATTAGCATTTGATAAAAGTTTAACCTCAATCACGTTCATATTTAAAATTCGAATGAAATGTTGACAAACAGAACTAAGTATCTACCTAAATAAGTTTGGTATAATATAACTCTGCCTATGCAAAGTAACAAAATAAACGGAAATCTGTGCACTAAAGCTAACAGACGTAAATTCCAGAGCTATGCTCTCTTTAGGCAAAAATAAACGTCGCATTTATTTTTCAAAAAGAATAAACTATCAAAATGTGGCGCTAATTCAATAACAACGAAGCAGTGAATATATGGTTTTTGATTATTATTATTATTATTATTAATAAATAGTGACAATAGTCATAAGCTATGTTTTCAATATTTATTTTCTTATAGAAATAGCATCCCAGCTTTATGCTTATTTAATTTCAGCTGGAAGCTATGGGTCGCCAAGCAAAAAAACATGGAATCAGTCCATGAAATCTGTTGGGGACGTTAGATCCCCAGAACTCACTTGATAAAGGCCCTAATTTCGAATTTTGTGTTTTCACTCATGGGCTGATCAGTTGACCTTGAAAATACATTTCCCACTCGGATAATCCTTGAGTGTCATTGGTTGATGTATTATTTTGGTACGTTATTTTCGTGACTCTTCCAAGGACGTTTCTATCATTTATAATAAACTCGATTTATGTGCTTGTCGACCTCATATTTACTGGGTGTTTGTACAATACACTTTCTGAGTCTTGTCACGACATCTTCCTCTACTTAGTGGGGCCTTAGGACGTTCGGATTAAAGTAGCCTATCATGTCACTGTTCTATTTGTCTTCGCTCTTGTTTACCAACTAAGGTGAACTCGTAATAGTTTCAAGCATATCAATTTACGAGCATAACAAAGTCATTGACAGTTGAACGGAGTCACAGTAATAGATGGAGACAACCAAATCAGAGTCAATGTGACAATCGTAACCAGTGGTGATTCAAGACTTTGAATGAGATGGCTTGAAATCGTCTGCAACAAATAGAGAAAATGCATTCATTCTTTATCCTCCACCAAAATTCCAAGTTTCTGGTCTATATTTTCTTGAATCTTCGATCCCTACTATTTTCCATTACCAATTTTAGTATTACTAACTCAGCTACTTTGAGATTCGGCCTGACAATTTCATTTCGCTCTGCCTGCTAATGTGGTATGGCTACTTGAACTGATTTGTGAGTTCATATCAAGTTATACATAGCAACCTAATTGACTAACTGTTATTCAATGTTTATCAGAATTCTAATTTATATTTTATGTTTATTAAAAGATTCGCAGATTATCTTCAATCTCTTTATCATAATCTTATTTCTAAATCTGCCTACAATTCATGTGATAATTAATAATAATAATAATAATGTCTAGAGATGTTGACAACTACAATTGTAATATAATAAACTAATTTAGACTATTATCTACAATGTTTTTTATCAATAAATTTTACTTTGATATTGTGTTTAGGTATTCTTCTAACTGCTACAATTATTCACTTGAAAAAAAACCAATAATCTATATGTTTAAGATTACAATAAGTAATATAGTGCAACATATGTAAATGTGACTTTATTAAACCTTATTTATTTGGTACACAAACTTTTAATGTACGAACTCGATTAAGGGATTTGAAGACATGACGCGATATATAATACAAAATACTCTATTGAAATAACCACAATATCCAAATGATAATTCCTAAATAGACTCAAACAATTGGAAAGACAAGGAGGAGGATATAAGTTAAACGCAGTTCCGAAATGATCCTGAAGCGTGAAATGTGTAAGTATTTATAAGACAAAATTTGGAAACTTCCTTGGAAGTAATGATTAGGGATACTGATTTAGCGCGATGACGATTCAATTCAAGCGCTCAGGAATAAAAGTTTAAAAGATCGCTAATAAGATCTTAGGACGGCTCAATTCAGTTGAATTCGAGAGGAAACATTGCATTTACTCTTTAGGCAAACACTAATAATTGCTAAGCATAACTCAATTATACTGGAGTTATGGGAAAAAAGACTGTACAATCACTTTCCACAGTTGAGTCACGTTAATTGTGAGGCAGGTTAACAGAAGGTGGATTAATGAGGAAAAACTAATAGTTTATTACATAAATATACATTATACACGAATATAAAGTGACAGATTCTAATAAATGAGTATCCAATACGATTCACTTTAATCTGGTAATCGATTCTTCGCATGTATTCAATGAGTTGTAGTATTTGTGTGCTGATGACTCATTGCTGATAGCAGTGTACTATGCAATGTAACTTTAAGAATAATGGTAGTCTGTTAGCTAGCAACCTGTTCACTTATGGTGAAGTGTAAACATCAATAACATGAACTATGTTGGTAATTTATTTATGTGTACACTTCACTCCCATTTCGTTCATGATTAAGTTTAAAACTGTATGAATGGGATCTACGACTTCAGTAGAGAATCATTTGATCATGAAACTTGGAATACAAGTTTTCTTTGAATTAAAAATACATATTATTGATTATTTCGTGGTACAAACAATTAAGAAATTCTTTTAATACGAAACAGAAGAAGAAGATCGATCGACTCCTACATATCAATACTTTAAAGTTAATAATCCAAAGGGGAATCAAAGGGAAAAAGACAGAACTTTTATGGGAATATTAATAATCCAAAATAGCAATTCAAATCCTGATACAATAGTTTTGTTTGTGTAGTAACAAGAATAACTTAGTGAACCTATCAACAATAACAAACTAAAAGTATAGGTAACCAATTAGGGAATAGGAACAGTCAATGTGGTAAAATAACATAAAATGTATCAAAGACTTGTTTATATGTCAAAGTCAGTTATGCGCAACATAGGAATTGGCATATATGTGCATCAATTCAAGCTACCATGTCCTATTAACACAGAGAGATAAAATCATCAAGGTAAATATCCTAGAGTAATAGAAGCAACAAGGAAGACAATCTATAGAATGAAAGAAAAATATGTATAAGGAGAGATTGGGATACAAGTTCTAAGAGATAACAAAGAGTAGATGCACCTGCGCTAATGCAAACAATTCTGCGCCATGTCACCCGAGGTTTCTCGAGAAATCAATTACAATAATCATGCGAACTTCAACCAGGTAGTTTATACTCATACACACGTGGTAGAACAACAAATATACAAAGAAAAAGCAGCTAGAGTGGTACCTTCTTTGCCCAGAGAAAATCCCTAAAACGACATGAAACGTAGGTTTTTCTGTTAATAATAAAAACTCTTATGGCAGAACATTTAAGCACTCAGTTTCTGATTTTCTAAATTCTATTAACTGGATATCAAAATCCATGTAACGAGGTGAGTTTCGTTTTCAACTATTCACATTTCGTTATACGTTTTAATATTAAAGCAATTGTACAATTGTATGCTTGTTAGTTAATGATATTAAATTTACTTACCCAAACAATATCTCCATTGCCTTTTATTGAATCATATGGGACAGCGATGTTTGGAGGGATGGTCGTCGAACTAATACAACAAATAATAATAATAATAGTAACAATTTTTTTTTAAAATACTGAAAATAATCAATGAAGAAAGTATTACAATACTAGTGGAAGTTTTATCCTGGGCAAAGTGTACAATCGGTTTAAGCAACTGGTCTTAAGAAAGTAAGTCAGGATTCACATAACAATGCATGGTAGCTTATTAACTAAGAATAAACCTCGCTTTTTTGTGAACATTAGTGATATTAGTCGGCTGCCTAAACCAGAATGAGATATCAACCGAGTGACATGAGAACTAAGTAGCCGCCCTAGTAAGTCATGTCATAAACAACTTAGAACATGCGTCAGTTGCCCTGAGCTACTGCACCATATCAGCACAGTGAGATGAAATTACCAACACATGTGTCACAGTAGTAGAAGTAGAGTAATGAACGAAGACGGAAAATCAGGCGGGATAAGCAAATTTCTGGAAGATACATTCTGCTAGCCGAAAAGTGTAAGCCTCATCATAAAACATCTATTTGCAAAACAAGTGTATCTTTAGTCATTTTCTCCCTCACATCTTCTATTGCTCAAAATATCCAGATTGCGCCCAAAATCCATGCCCAACACTTTTCGCCTAGGCCGTACCTTCAGGATGGCACTACGCGGCAGTGGTAATAACAAAGATTATGCACAGACAATATGATTCGAGAAGAAAGAGTGAATTCAAGGAATAAAAAAGTATATGGTGATTGTGCGAGGAGAAAAAAGGGAGTGAATCTTCGGCACTGCGATTGATTCCAAGCCATTTTTCATTCAACAACTCCAAACATTGATTACGAAAATCATGCGGACTCACATCGGATAAATATATACTTAGTCACATGACACAGCCACTATCTTAATGCACTAATGGCAAGACTTGGTTTGTTTTTCTTTTATTTTCCAACAGCCAAAATTACGCCGCTCCGGACAGTGAATACAAGCAAACTGGCAAATTAAGCAGTCATTAAGACATTTTATGCAATGGTTAACGACAAAAGTTTTAAAAAAAAGTGATCCGCGATTCCAGTTCGTACATCAATTAGTAAACGTACTTGAATAATTTTAACCACGGAGCAGTAAGTTCATCAAAAGAAAAAATTTCTCATCACCAATATAACTCATAGATGAATGAAAACTGTTGAAAATGATCACATAATAATAAGACCATCCATCTTGTGAATGGAAGATCCGAATACAAAACGAACAAAATGCGAACACTTATCTAATCAAAACACGAAGGCATCAAACGAAGGTAATGACATCTAACTTCTCAGGTATCGTTAATAAATAAAGTGATGTAGTAGTATATACAAGAATGACAGAATGAAAATTGATCAGTTGAGATTAGTAAATAGTCGACATTGAAAAATAATAATAATAATAATGCAGAATACGTAATCTGCATTAAATAAACTATGCTTTTTTTTCAATGAAGCATAAAATATTCGTAAATGATGATAACAGACTACACAATAAAACTCTAGGAATGTCAGATGCGTAAATTCTACCGACAACAATAATACATATTATTACTATTATTATTACAACTAATAATATCATTACTATGATTAGTGAAATGAAGAATTACTGGCAATTGAAAAATATGCACAAAAAAAATAGTTTGAAAAACTGATAATACGAGTGATATTATAGTAGATGAACGTATTCAATGAGCAAAATTTAATTAGGTTATTACCAGTTATCATTTCAATAGAATGCATAAGTAATATATTTTATTAGTCAATCAGTCAGTCAGATGCAACGTAGAACTTCGTACGTAAGTACATCAGTTCATGTTGCCATACCACATCAGCACAGAAATGTAATTGTCAATTCAAATCCAATAGTAAAAGAGGTCGCAAAGGTATTGGAAGTAATCGAAGAGGTTAGGATTAGAAGATATTATTCAAGAAGTATGATTCAAGATGATTCAAGAAGTATGATTCAGTGAGATAAGTTTAGGGAGTCGAAACTAGAGGTGTTGAAGAATCCAGAAGATTAGGATTTGAGAGAACACAGAATAAATGCACCGGCGCCATTGCGAACGATTTTGAGCCATGTCATTCAAGGTCTCTAACCATCGATTATTATCATCTCGCGGACCCCAACCAAGTAGTCGACAATTACCAACATGGCTAAGTCCACTCGTCAATGACTTCATGGATTTCTGCCATGTTTTGGTCTGGCCGCCCCTATCTTTCTTCCAACCTACTCCTACACTTCGAAACATAGCTCTTCAAGGCAGTCGGTGGTTAGGCATACGCAACACATGTCCCAACCACCTAAACTGATGAAGTTTAACCACTTCATCGATTGATCTGCCATCCTTATCTAGTACTCGTTTCCTAACGACAGCATTGCTTACTCGGTTGTCCCACGGTATACGAGCAATGCTTCGAAGACACATATGGTCGGAAACCAGTAACCTACGAATATCTTTTAATATATTTTATTATGAGTTTCTCAATTTTTTTTTACAATCATTGTAACAGTTTTCTATTGATCTGTTAATAATAACTAATCATGTTTTAACAAAATATGAGTAAAACGATTTTCATACACAAATAATTATAATAATAATAATAACGATTCATTTTAAACATTGAGCAAAGACAAGTAAAGATTAGTTTACATGTGAATTTTGATTAGTATACACACATCAAGCATTCTATACTTTGTAATGAACATGTTAGGATATTTGTCTAAGTCTAATTCTACTGGTCCATTCTTATTGGTCGTCCTAACTGTCAATGTCACGTAGTTGAATGTTGTTTCCTATTCGACCCAACTGCATAAATGAGCATTATCTGTAACGTTTTATGACCCGGATCCTTAGTCTGGGATCCTTATCCTCTTCTGGGCTAGGACCTCGTACTTTCTGGATGCTTGCAGAATACACATTCCACTATATATCAAGTAGTCTTCTTCTATTTAATGGGGGTTTGGGACGATCGAATTAGAGTAGCCCATCATGTCAATGGATCATTGTCTCGCACTCGTTTACTAACTAAGGTGAACTCTTAATAGTTCGTGCATATCAATTGACGTGTTGACTAGCGTGTGTAACAGAACAATCATTGAAACTGTCCAAAACTCAAAAAGATATGACATTTTCGATAGGGTAATGCATTTGTTGTAGGCCAGATCAATACAGCAATGCAAGTGTCCGTAACCGAGTATACATTTTCCTGTATTTGAATCTCAGGTAAATATTTTATGAGCGTCAGTGTTCATAACTGAAAGCTTACATAGAAGGGAGACAGGATTTAAAACCAGTATGTCAAATGTCAACACTACCGAAACTATGAAACTATCATTCTATCTGAATTCAGAACAAAATTATACAATCAATCAATCAAAATATTCTAAATTTAGGAATTAAATATGCTTTTATAAAAAAAGCCTTAATCAATTTTTTTCTTACTATAAATCAGATCTCCCCATTGATAATTGTGATAAACCAGCGGATACAACATCTAATGGGTGATCAATCTAAAAGAGAGAAAACAGTAGATAGATAGAAGATAAAAAATAAAACGCTTAGTACAACTCCGAATGATAATAATAATAATAATATTAGAATGAATACAGGCAAAAAAAAGACTCTTCAATTAGAGTTATGAAGATTAGTGTTTTTACACATTTGAAATCATCAATAAATCATTGTTAGACCATCATTAGAAACCTGGAAGCACTGAAAGACGGCTGTTTCGTCCTAGTATGGGACTCATCAGTGGCAGTGCGCATCCACGACCACTGCACCTGGCAGGATTCGAACCCGGGACCTTCGGTATTGTGTGCGAACGCCATTGGACTATTGGACCACAAGACTGACATAGACATAGAATGTCATTAACCACTTTACATTAGTTTAAAAATATCCTAAATGTAAAATTGTAGAAATTTAACGATTAGAAAAATATGATACTGTAGTTTTTCCAAGTTATTTTTATTTTCACATTTTCTACTTTTGATTGAAAGTTTAACATATTTTTAATGATACTAAATATGACTGTTTCGAGAGAGAGAGATAATATGATTGATTGGTCGATTGATTTTGTAACAGTTTTTGACTCATTTTATTTTGATGATGATAATGATGATGTAGTGAAACAGTAATAATCATAATGATAAAAGAATTTAATTTCATTTAACTATAAAGCTAAATAGAAAATCATTTGTTGACATAACTGTATCCTTGCATTAAAATGTCTCTCTACCTCCAGGTACCTGTAAAAAGAACGTTTTTGCATACAATTGACTCATTATAGCCACAATGATGGATGGGATTACTTACCATTCTGCACAGATTAGTCATAAGAAGGAAGGTTAAAGATATTTTTGACTTGATTTCAAAAATAGAAAACATAATGGGTTAATTGAAACCATTGAGTTTATATGCTATCAAATAACAGGAAACCAAATCAACTATGGCTTCCTTAAGGATGATTTGAAAGAATTACCCTTAAAGTAAGCACTGTAAGTCCATTTTATCTTCAACAATATTCATAATAGATAAAGAGGTGGAATAGCTATGAGCTCAAATCTAGGCCCAATGTTAGCTCGTTTCTTTGCCAGCAAAGTTAGAAAGCAGATGCCTTTGTGAGACTTTTAAGAAATTAGATCTATAGTGCCGCTATATTCAATCAGTTACTCAGCTAATAACATAGAACTTCGTACCTAAGTACATCTGTTCAAATTTCCATACCACATTAATACACAACGACCGAATTATTAACTAAAATCGCACAGTAGTAAAGGTAGTAAAAGTATCAGTAGTGATGGCGAAGATTAAGATTCGAAGATATTATTCAAGAAGTGTAATTCAATGCGATAAGTTTAGAAACAGAAAGGTAGAGGTGATGAGGAATTCATAGAACACGAGTTCAGGGTCTCTAACCATCGAGTAGTATCGTCTCGTGGACCCCAACTATGTAGTCTGCATTTTGTTGATTGTTACATATAATCAAATTATCGTCAACACAACTTGTATATTATCCCATTTCACCAATCACTCGTTTAAGCTTGGTCTTTTCAAGGTTAACTATGGATATATCTGCTAGGATGGGACCAAGAGAACTTCGCTTTGTTACACCAGTTTAATGGAAAAAATGATCGGCTGTTTTTCAGATTCATAAGAGATCTGTTTAATGTATAAGTTAAGGCATTTTGTCGCTGAGAAGAGAATGGTCTCATGGAAAGTCAAATCATACAATTTGTTGAATGGTTTACTTTCTAAGTTGTGACTTAAGTTTACTCAATAATTAGTTAAATGTGGCTGGATAATCCGATGTACCGGTCATTATACATCGGACATTTCATAAAGATCACATGAGCAGCGTGAATCTCGTCTTAACACAACGACGGGAGGAGGAAAGATCTTTAGCGTGATTTCCACGTGCTGCACTGTGTTATTTATGTAGATGTCGATACTAAAATCTATGAGCGCGGTAGCAGTTTGGATTGATGCGCTCTCTAGAGCCTACTTTAATCTCATTGACTGTTAGTAAGAGTTAAGTCAGCAATTTCTTAACAGAGAAAGTTATACATTCAC